TCTCGCTCGAGCGACTTCCATGCTGAAAATCTTCTTCCTTCTTCCAGTTTTACTCCAATTATGCTGATAATTATGCACCTTACTTTTGTATCAGGGTATTCTCGAATTCATCATACATTGGGAGAAAAATTTATTAGAATTAACATAAGTTAAGTGATTTCATAACAATTCAAAGCATAATTATATCAACGTTTTACCACTTAACACTACACCCCTTGTTGGAGAGGAAGAAGTTTGGGATGTGGGATTGGTAGGTTTGGGACAACTCAAAAGGAAACACACCTCTCTCTTTTTTCATGTTCTCCACACCCTTAAAGATATTTTTGGTGGGCTAGGATGAATTTAACATATTTTGACCATGGGGAGACTAGTCTTTAGGTTTAGATGAAGTTTATGTCTCCTTTTGTAATTTCATCTAAGTCCTTCCTCCAAAAGCCTATAAATAGAAGGTTTCCCCTAATGTAATTAGGTTGAACATTTATGATAAATTTGTGGGGTTTATTAGACTGTTTCATCTCTTTGAGTGTCTTATCTTGAACCTTGGTTTTAGTGGCAGCAACCACCACTTATCTAGGGTGGCTCATCCCTAGTGGCGTGCTAACACTCCACCACCACCATATTTATCTTCTCTTCATATTTATTTCTTCACTCCATTTATTTATCCAATGGGCTGGTCCATTTTTTTTAGCCCTTATCTTTATTCTTTTCTAATTCCATTTTATCTCATCCTCCCTCCATAATCCTTGGAAATGAACCTTTATATCTAAATAGGCAACTATCTTAATGTCCAATGAAAATTTTCCTTATATTTGCTTACTTTGTTGCTTAAAATTCTGCACCTTATCTTCTTAAAATTTTGCGTCTTATCTTATTTTACACCATTTGGTATTCAGAGCTTAAGTTGTTTCTAGTAAGGTATTCTTATTATTGCTTTGACTTTGTTCCTTTTATAGTTTGCGTTTTGTGCTCTAACTTGTGTTTTTGTGGCCATTTTTGGTTGCGTTTCTACACTCAAAAGATTTGGTGTGAGGTTGGTCCAATACTACACTCACCTAAGTTTCTATTTATGGCATATATGATATTTGATAAAATGTCTAGCCCAAAAAAAAATTTACACTTGATTAAGTTACATATTCTTCTAAGTTTAGTGTCTTTTTAAATGTGTCTAGCCTTTACTTTTGAGTTATATATCTAGTATCTCTTATTGAAATTTTCTTTTATTTGCTTTCAACAATTGAAATTGCATGATGAATTAATTAGTTAAGTTCATGCATGATGAATTGATCTAGGATCCTAAACATAGGGACTAGGTGTTCAATTTTTTTATTCTAGCAACTTTAATTAAATTTTGGTAAATCTAGAATCAAGTTAGAACCAAAAGAATAAAAATAAATTATATATTTTGCCTTTAGAAAGTTCTTGGTTGAGATAAAAAATAAAAAAAGTTACATTTGGTTAAAGAAATCTTATAGACCAAGACACTTGTTTAAATTGTTCAAAAAAAAAAGTTTGACACTTAAATGATTTGGTTCTAGACTTGTCATAACTTTTGGTTGCATAATTAAAATTTGGCAAATTAGTTCTATGTGTGTGCTTAACTGAAAAATTTTGATTGCATATTTTAAGTGTTTCTCAAATTTTTTTTTATTTTTCTTATTTTAGTCTTGTTCAAAGTTTTGTGAAATGGAATTTGTCCTTATACATTGTCTTAGTGGAGCTCAATCCTACATGAATATGATAGATGTTCTACTAGGTGTACGGGGATTTGTCTGCATGGTAGGAGTGTTCCTAGTGGCTAATGCAAATTATATCAATGTTCTCTCCATAATGTAGTTATCTACATAATCATTAAGGAGGTATCACCATGAAATAAGTCACTCGGTCATGAAAGAAAGTATAAACAAACAAATATATTCTAACAAATAAAAGAAAGTAGTTGGACTAATTTAATTTACCCATACGAGGAAAAGAAATCATTGAAAAACCTTCCAACTAGAGAAAGAGAAAACAAATCAGTGAGAAGAATAAATAACATGCTTTATATATATATATATATATATATATATATATATATATATATATATATATATATATATATATATATATATATATATAATCCCTTTTCAATATCTTTGAAAAACTCCTCATTAATAATCATCACATGACACTTTCAAACAATTAATCATTAATGAGTATAAACCCAAAAATAAATATAATATGAGTTATAAGATCGATTACAAGAATAATAATAACCTTTTTAAAATGTTCATCTCATTGGGTTGAATTCTAAATATGTTAATACTCGGTTAAAGTTCGTTCATCCTTGATAGACAATGATATCGTGAATAGAAATAATTATTCACCTAAGTTATTTTTTATCTTAAAAATTATAAAATATATATTTATGATATTATCGAGTATATTATGGGTTGTTATTGTACTCCTCAATCCTCGACTCAAAAATTACCTTTTCGAGTAATTTATGGTGTTGATGCCATGATACAAGTCAAAATAAGAGAAGAATCTTGAAGAAAGAAAAATTATGATGAAAAACTAATGATGTAAATATTCAAATGGAATTAGACTCGATTGATAAGGTAAGAAATTTAGCTCATATTCAAGAAGACATCATCTAGTCACTAGTGGCGAGTTAAGAGAAAGTATAACACAAGAGTAAAAGAAATAGTTTTTCAAAAAGGGGACCTAGTATGGAGAAAGGCGTGAAACTCGGAAAGATCAAACAAAAGGAAAATCAGATGCTAATTGGGATGGTCCATGTCATGTAATAGACTCCTTCCAAAATGGAACTTATAAATTATAAGGATTGATAGTAAGATTAATATCTCGAACATGGAATGCTACTCACTTAAAAGCATATTATAGTTAAAGGAAGTTGCATAACTTATTCAACCATGTTCTAGACTGATCCAGATGAGATGGTCAAGTTTAAATGTTTCCACCATGTTGATCTGTAATTATATCGATCATGTCAATCTATAATTACATCGATCATGGTGATATGTGGTTACATCGATCCAAATGAGATGGTTCAAGCTTCAAACGCTTCCATGATACCAATCTTAAATTATTTTGATCTAAAATGAGATGTCAATATGTAATTACATCAATTTATGATGAGATGGTCAAGTTTCAAATGTTTCCATCATACAAATCTTCGTACACGTCAACTATTTGTTATTGGTAATTCGAAACTCAATGATTTATTTCTCATCTTGAAACTCGATATTGCATTTGTCGGTTTCATCAAACAGTTTCTTAGCAAGGACAACTCACGATGAGGAAAGAGTAATTTGATCTTAAAATTCAGTTAAGTGAAGAACGTATTCCAAAGCTCGATTCCTAAATTTAGTTTGAGAAGCGAAAGGACTTCTCAAGCTCAGAATGAATAAGCTAGAAAGAAATAAGTTCGGGGAAAAGTTAACTCAATAGATAAGATTGGTTATTGAGTTATTTTCATTACCATTAAATTTTGAATTCAAGAGACTGTCAAACTTCAATGATTGAAATATTCTCCAAGACTCTTTAACAAAGATTAATAATATAACATATGATTCACCTAGTTAATATCGTAATAAAGACAAATTATTATTTTTATTACCTAAAATATCTTTAGAAATTTATAAATTTTTCACCTTTTAATATCATTTGTTATCATTTGTTACTATAATAGAAAAGACATATATTTATTATTGACATAAATATCAAAGTCTCTTTACAAGAAATCACCTCTCATTTTTTAAAACAATCATGATTTAAACAAGAAATCATACTTATTCATAATCAAATTAAATAGTTCAAGTTATTCATAATTGGATAGGCTAAACTGTTCATGATGAAAATTCAAAAGTCCAAATTATAGATTACTTGATCGTAGTCAAAATCAATTAAATTTAAACTTTAAATTTAATAATTTGTGAACTTAAACTTCACTAATAAAATTTGTAAATAAATTTATCAACTATGTTATTACTTCTAATACCCTTCTTTATAAAGAGAGTATTCATTCCTATTGGTGTTCACTTTTACACATTTTACTTTTTTTACTATTTCACATTTCTCAATTTGTTATTAACTTGACGAACAGCCTGTGTTGTGCACAGGTAACACTCCACCTTATGTTCGTACCATTAGGCTCCATCACGCCTATCTTTCCGATCAAAAACGTTATACTAGAGGAACATGAGAATCTAACATATTTTAACCAATATTACAAAGAAAAGGGAATGTTTTAATTTAAGTAAGTTTATAAACCGAAAGTGTAATTATTAGGTTTAATAATTAAAAATATAAAATGATAAAGTTTAATAAAACTTTATAACAAGTAAAATAAACGTGAAAAATAATGGTTAATTGATCTTAAACAACATATCAAGGGACAGCAAGGAAATCAACACGAAAACCCTACATGCTAACACATGGAGAACATGCACTTTTTAAGGGACATTTCTTTTGGAGAATGCTACAATAAATTTACTACCTTTCAACATGTCATTTAATACACGGAGAGAGTGGATTCTTAAACGGTTCCACTTTGCAAAAGCTACAATAATTTGACTAACTTTGGTCATCCAATACATGGAAAACATGGACTCTGTTCCATTTTGAGAAAGCTAAAATTATTTGAGTACCTTTGGACAAGTCAACTACAAAGTTTTCGTTGACTTTTTCGCAGCAACTTCAGAATACCAAGATTTCCATGCATCCATGTAGTGAGAAAATAGGTCTCTCAAAGCTGGTATCATAAGAAACACAAACATTAAATACATTGAATTTTAAAAAATAAAATATGCTATGACAATGCACTGAAATGGCAAATAGAATGTCATAACCAATTTTTATACCCTAATTAATCAATACTACAAAAATCCAAGACAATTTATCCTTTCACATCAAAACTTTAACTCGTTTGATTGAATTGTCTCGACAGTAATATGTTTCAGCTAGCCTAATTCAAGACACCATCATGTCAAAATCTCAACCTAAGCATGTATCAACTCAACCCCAATCCGAACATCTTCAAATTCGACCTCTACCCAAAGCATCTCACTTCAGACATTGTTAAGTCATCTTCAACTCGCTTTAGAAGACAGAAGACACAATCAACTAGGACTAAACCATGACATTTTCAACACCCTACACTAATACATTCGGTAAAGATATTTTATCAAAGCTAAATCATCTTCAATACATATTTTGGTTTGTCTCATTTATGACACTCGACTCGATTCTTAAAACTAGGTTATGGTTTCGAAACCAATTTAAAAAATCAGTTTACCATTTAAAATCAAACCGATTTTGGGAAAAGCAAACCATATCTTTTTCTTAGATTCAATCATTTAATGGAATTGCATCAGATATGGATTGAATTTTTACACATGCACATCTCTATTAAATGCATACCACACATCTTCATACTAAACATTAATCTTATCTTAGTTTGACAACTAGGCAATCAATGGAGGTTCCATATAACATTAAAGAAGGTAAATAATTAGGAATGATCATAAAGTTGGTAGATTCATTAAGCGTGTTAATGGTGGAAAATGTTAGAATCTTATTACATGTTATAGGACTTATATCTTAAATTAAGAGTACGAGATTTTAATGTAGAGTTTAGAGGGTCTTCGACTCTTCAACTACAACTAGCATTCGTAGTATAATCTGTAAGTTTATCATTGTTAGAAAGCAATGAACTAGACCTAATCAGTTACATGCTTATTTCTCTTCCTTCTAAAATACTATTAATAGGTATCTGTCATACAAGACGAGAACATGGAATACCTGGTCAATTCTTATGGAGTTATGCTGTCATTGGTTAAGATGTAAGGAACTTCGATATTCCTTATAATCTACCATCAAAACTGTGAAGAAAACTATAGAGAAAAGAAAAAGACAACACTCACATTTCCTCACTGATACCTCAATACAATACTTGCTGTAACTAGCTCATCCTGCCCAATCTATCAATGCCCCCCCAAAATTGTAGCCACGAATCCAACTTTGTGCCAAAAATCTTCTCATTATCTCAACATTCTTCGCACTCTGTAAATTTGCACTAGCTTTGTAACTCCTATTCTAAACTATCTATAATTTGGGTTCATAAAACAATTGGTTAATGACACCAGTATTCAGGTCTCTATAAAGATCTCAACGATGGGCCATCGAAGAACCATACTGATCGAACTCCTATCTAAAACAGTACCTGCCGTGCTCTTCACATTCTCTGTATTGGAACTGAATCAACCTACCAACATGTAAATTGTGCACATCTACCCAGTGCATACCACACATTTCATCTCAAATTAATAACCGAGTCAACGAGCTTTTGAAATTAAATGTGTTTATTACACATTTCTTCTCCCACAATAAAATTTTTATTAAGACTCAATTAATTTGATGAGATTAACTTCATTTTTTAATTGTTTTCACAATAAGAAACTAAGTTTTTATGAATTTACATATGATTTAGTATTTGCGATTTGCTACCCCTACTTTATTATTGTGATTTGCTACTTTTCTTAATATGAAGTGGAAATATTTAACTATTTTTGAATTAAGAGTTTTATAATATACACATATATTATTAATATATTATTTACAATTAAGTAAATTCACAAATGCTCCATGAATTTATGTAGACTCTAGATTATGAAAACATTGGATGCATGTAGAAAGATACTCCATTACATAAATTCATAATTCACAAGTAACCGTATCTATCATAGACCTTGCCATGTTCACGATTGGAAATCAAACAAAGCAAAGGAGAAAAATTAAATGTGAGCTTATCTAATGGTAATAAATAAAGGTACAGCACCATTTTCAAGAGATAAAAGTTAGCATTTCTTTTTTTATAAACATAGTACATATATAAAAATCAGTTTCCATTTCAGAAGGTTAAGCATGGTTGATGTGTAATTATGATTTGTAATTTTGCAATATGCAAGTAAACGTACACTACCTTCCGAGAAACAAGAAAACATGATTTCGGAAGAAATGAAAAACTGCATTAGTCAAGTTGTAATCTTTGTTCCCCATTAGCTAATAAAATTGCATCTTTATACATGATAAGTCACATTCACATCATAATTCAAACATAACACATAATTGAGCCTAAGATTTTTTTGCCGTAACAAATTGAGGATAAATTATTCGCATCTAGTACAATTATTCCCATGCAGAAATATAAATATACACCAAACAAAATTCCATATCTATGCGAGCAGGGGAGGAATTACCTAGATACCTTGATTTTGATATTGAGGACGATGAACCTGTGCGAGGCTGTCCCAGTCATGCACCTGATTCCCGTTATTATTTTCAGAGGTTCCGACTTTGGACACATAAGCTGGAGCGAAAGGGCCAAACTGATATCCCTTTAAAGTCTGTTTTGCATCCTTTTCTACATTGCTTTTCACTGTCTGTGCTCTGTAACTAATATTTTCATGTTGGTTTTGCATTTTACAGTCCCGGCTATCCAAGAGCAAATCAGCTTTGCTCCTTTTAAAACTTGTGTTTGTAATGTCAGTTCCAAACTTTCTTTTCCCTGCCTCTTTGACATCTGAATTGTGAGCCAAGTCAACTGATTCACTCCATGCTTTCCCTCTCCAACCCAACCACCTAAATGCTGGTTTTCTAGTGTTCGTTGTATGAGTCTGCGTCCATAGAAAACCATCTTAAGCTTACAGTAATTTATTAGAATACAGAACCTACTGTGAGGTTCTACGTGAAAATTTAAAATGAACCAAGGAGAATATCACCTTCTCGATTAGGTTCATGGAGGATAACACATTTGCAATATCATATAGGCGTCTGACTTTTGCTGAAAGGACAATAGCATACAAGAAAAAACTGAGAAAGTTAAATTCCTCTTCCTTTGTCTATCAATAATGGACAAGTATAAGGCTATAAATGAAAGATTTTATGGACTTATTTTATAACAAACATGATGCAAGTGTTTGAGAAAGAAAAAAGATACATGGAGAACTCTTCTTTAAAAAAACAACCATCCAACGAACTCTTTTTATTAATTTAATAATAATAATAATAATAATAATAATAATAATAAAATCTTACATTTTTTTATGTTTATTATTATCATAATGAGTTGTAGGATGAATATATGTAAAATTTAGGTTATCAACGTATATAGCTCTTTAAGAAATTGGTATCAAATCGAGAGTCGGATAATGAATTGTGAAGTTATTTTTTTAAAAGACTATGAAATATTAATTCAAATATATCATATAGATAATATAAAGTTTTCAATGTAAACAATTGGAACAACATAAACAAAACTCATAAAACAAAAACTATTAGTTTATGAAACCCTTCTTCTAAAAGAATGGGAAAAAAATATTAAAGAACTATATGAAGTACATGCATTGAATGAGTGAGTGGCAAATGAAGTACTGAAATAATCAAGTACGATAAGTACACTAGTGTTCTCTTCAATTTGTTTATTAAAAAATTTAAACTTACATGACTTTTTTAATTTTTTTCATGAAAATTGGAGAAGAAATATAAACTGTTGAATCGTATTAATGATCTTAACTTCCAAAGATTCATTCAAGTATTGTAAAATATCAAGTCCTTTCACGTTATGATACAATTAAATTGAATCAATTATTAATCTAAGATTCTTGTAAGTATAGAAAACTTATAAGAAAAACTTAATGAATATGTCCGTCAACTGTCTCTAACTTATTTTAATAAATTTTTCAGAATACTTATAAAAATGACTAGCTATTTATATAAAGAAAAATACTTGCACTATTCTCTAACACGCACATTTAAACACACTCTTTATTATTAACTAAAATTATTAAAGATCATTAAATTTTGTCTCGCGTTTTATTTTAATAAGTCTCATTCATGATTTTGTAGTTTGAATAAAGTTTAACCAATAATGGAATGAGTTAGAAAGTGTATTTATAACCCTCCTCATGAATTATAAGCACTTTGTGCTACAAGTGTTTAATGCTATTTACCTAAACATACCAAAGTTTAGCATCACTTACTCCTCATTATTGATGTATTATGGGCATTTCCAAGCAACAACTTTGCAGCATCGTCAAGGGAGATCAGTTCAATCTGAATAGTAATGTAGGAAAATATCAACATATATTAACACGTAATCAATTTGGAATGTCCAAGAAAGATTCAATAAATAGGCGACGCTCACATTAGAGCAGATAAAAAGCTTGACAAAATTCTGGGTAAGTAATGCCAGAGACTTCTCCCTTCTGTTTTCTGCAAAAAGCAAAGCGGTGTTCATGCTCATAAGATCACAATGCCCCATTTGTAAATACCACAACCACCTTTACGTTTCATACTTCAAAGAAAATAAATACTAATAACATACTCAATATAGCTTCCACCAAATATCACTCTTTTAAAGTCCATACGATTACCTTAAACATTGAAGGTATATAAATGGTAAGGCATCCTTCTCATCAACAAACAAAACAACTACTCCAAAATAACGTAGTCTCCAATTTAGTGATGATTTGCGTGTTTATATGAAAGAATGTTGACAAAAATAATTTGAAAGAAACTATTTTGGTTAAAATTAATTTTAAAGTAATATGATTTATGTTTGAATATTTTTATGCAAAAAGTTATAAATAAAATTGAATATAAAATTTTCTATAAAACACTAAAACTAGCAAATTTGATTCATCTCAGAATTAATTTTAATATCAACTAAATCCTTAATGTGAAACTAAACATGTACCTAAAATAACATTAACTGACGTTTTAACGTGATTTTGTAGAAATCAACATGAAACCAAACACGCACGATTCGACCGTGGAATCCATATTTCTGTTCATTAAAATGAGGCAATACATTAAAAACATTTGGCAATTCTTTTTATTTGCAAGAGAAAAAACTTATTAATAATCAACAATAATGTTAAGAAATCTCTTGAGCTCATGTCACACGTCAGAAATTAATCACCTATTTTCTCTGCTCAATGCCTCTTCCGTTATTTTTCTTCAAAAACACAATTTGTATATTTCTACGCTGACAGTATATCTGAATGGTCACCGATAAGCATTATGATCCTCTGCAGCTTGGGAAAACGTGCGTGGATCTCAGCCATTCTTCTGATTTCAATGTTTAACAATTTTAACATATAGAGGGGGGAAAAGCGTACATAAAAACCAGAAAGGCGGGATTACTAAGTGAACAGGGCGTAGTTCCTTTTCAAACCTTAGAGCATCTTAGAGAACATGCCATTTCTAGTTTTTCACAATGGCAAATCAAGATTTATAACATATTTATTGACATGAAATTTAAAAACTAACCCACCAATGGTCATTAAATCAGCGAAATATTCCAAAGCAACAGGTAAAAGAAAATAAAAATACCATTCTTAGAGGATATGACAGGAGGGGTGGAATCAGGATTTTCCTTGTCATTCTGACTTTCAGCATTGACATTGGGAGAGCTTTCCTCCTCATCCTCATCATCAGACACCTAAACCAACAACAACAATTTATCCAACACTAAATTAAGCATTAACCGACAAATTTCGAAATAAAATTGTAAAATAAAACCAGTAGACGCAATTCTCTCACTTTCGCACTGTCATTGGAGTCATCAAAAGACCCAGGATTCTCCTTCAAACCATCTTCCTACAAAAATCTAAAATAAACATCAAATCTTAAACACCAAAGTCTAACACTGTGATTTAATTTTGAAAGAAGAACAACCTTGAGTTCTTGCAAAGCCTCGGGAATTGCAGAAAAGCCTTTCCAGGTATACTGATTCTTAGCTTTTCTGGCCAGCACCTGAAAAATTCAAAATCAAGAATTAAAAAATATGATATATATTAAAACAATCACAAAACCTCATAAGCGATCGAAAACAAACCCCGACGCTCTCTAGGACGTTGACGATGTCGTAGATCCGGCGCCTTTCAACTCCTAATCGCGAAGCGGCGTCATCGAGACCGATTAAGCGAACGCCTTCTCTGTTGTATAGCCTCAGAAAACTGCAAGATCAAGAAGAGCGTTAGAACTAGTCGATTAAATTGAATACAGAAAAAGCGATAGTAGAGAGAGAGAGAGGGAGGGAGGGAGACTTGGTGCACAATAAGCCGAGTGATTTCTGCTTTCGGCTATAGGTGTGGTGGGTTGAGGAGGTAGACATGGAAGTGCCGGGGCATCGACCAGGGTGGATGGGTTAGGGTAGACTGTGGAGAGAGAAGAGATGTTGGGACGGCGGGATAATACTGTTTAAAAAGCGGGAATCCACGACGCGCCCCCACATTGTTTTTTTTCCTTATATAGATAGAAGAGTATTAGGTTGTTATTTTAAATGAGTTTTTAAATTTAAAATTTATGTTGATTTTTTCGTGATTAGGTAAGTTGATGTACAACACAAATGTGTTGTTGTGTCTCTATAATCATGCCTCGCGATCGACTCTGAACTCAGCAGGATCAGTTAAAAAAACCTTTTTTAGTCTGTCTGTATAGGTAAGGGATGAGATCGCATATAATTTAAGCTAGTTAAAATAATAGTTTTCTTCTCTATTTTATTTTTTATTATAATAAGATTAATTAAACGATTTAAAAGTATTTTTTATGTTCAAGTAGTTTTTGAAAAGGTTTCGCAATCAATAAATTTTTTTTTTTCAAAACCAAGCCTACTGAATAATAAGATAATATATAAAAATCAAGTTTTTTATATTGCTATGTGAGTTATATAAGCTAGTTAAAATAATAGTTTTCTTCTTTATATTTATTTTTTATTATAATAAGGTTAATTAAACGATTTAAAAGTATTTTTTATGTTCAAGTAGTTTTTGAAAAGGTTTCGCAATCAATAATTTTTTTTTCAAAACCAAGCCTACTGAATAATAAGATAATATATAAAAATAAAGGTTTTTATATTGCTACGTGAGTTATATATCTAACTTCTTTTTCTAATAAATTATTTGAGAGTTCTATTATTATCAACTTATTATTTATTTTTTTCAGTTTGAATTAATTTTTATTTATTTAGAAGTGTCAAAATAAGCTAATTTGATTCACAATAGTTGACTCACTATAGATTTTGTTAAAAATTGATTAGGTGGATTAACTTAGTTAAGTATATGTCCTTTTTCATTATTTTTCTTTTTAAATTATTTAAATAAGTGGATTGATTTACTAACATAAATGAGTTGGATAAATGAGTTGGTAAGTTAACTCACTAAAATAAATTGTTTTCTTCATAGATGAATAGAAAAATTTAGAATATTAAATATTTGAAAAAATGGGTCAACCAACACTAATTGGGCTTAAATTCATTTAATCATGAGTTAAGTGAGTCGGACTTATTTTAATCCACTATTAACAATTTTTAATTTTTTTCAACCAACCTTACTCAAAACCATGGTGAGTCGGGTTGGCTCAAGGATTGTGACTCATATTAACACTCGTATTCTTGATAATGTTGGTAAAATTTGGGTCATGTATATATATGATACATAATTTAAATGTGTTAGGGTCATTATTTATTAAGTCAAATAATAAAGTGATCTGACTAAATTAAAGTTTTGCCTAAAGGCATATGTCATGAAAATAAAATTGTGTAGAGACCATTGAGCAATTTCTAATTTGATGAGGGGTCAAATTGGAAATACTAAAACTTAAGTAATTAACCTAATTCTGGTTATTTTAAGAGGTCGTGGTCCCCTTCTGGGAGCACACACACAGAACGTAAGTATCAGTCCCGTTCCTTTCTTTCTATCCCCATCAAGAGAGAAAATCAAGAGGGAAATATAGGTGCTCTTCAGGTGGAAGACCATAAGATCAATATAGTGCTCTACAAAGACATCATCATTATGGTTAATTCAGTGTACGCTTTCGCATTCAGTTTACGAGCATGTTTATCAAGTATGAGATTATGTTTATGTTTGATCGTTAGAATCAAAATCAGGATTATTATTATTATTATTATTATTATTAATTTTCCAACAATTGGTATCGAAGTCGCCCATATTTGATTCATGTCTGTTTAATTTATAGAACCCTAATTATGAAAATTAGGATTAATTTTGTTTTAAACAATTCAAATTACCCAATTTTATGAACCCTAAGTGGAGAATAATCTCTAATTTTCGTGAACCCTAAAATTTAAATTTGGGGGTAACATCCCCAATCTGATTCTGCTTGCTGATGGAACCGTGGAGGAAGCCATGAATTCTTCTTCTTCTTTGTGTTTTCCCTTTTGTTTCAGGTTAAGTTTCAAGTTTTACTGAGAAAGAAATAGTGTTTCAAATTTCAATCTTTCTTGTATTGGGTTCTCTGTTCTTTTTTGAATTTTTTGTTTTTATTTAATTTTATGGGTTTGGAATTGGGGGTGGTGTTTGTGGAGTTCCCAACACAGAGAATATTAGGTAAATGGTGAATGTTTCCACAGGTGTGACTGTTCTTATTTTTAGGAAAATTTGATGTTAAATTAGGGTTTGAGTGATTACTGTTTAATTCCCTTTTAGGGTTTAGAGCAGTATACTAAAGAGACTCAGAACTATCTCTGTTTCATCCCTAGTGTGATTTTAGGGAGATGTTCATCCTTTATGTATTGGTGGAAAATGAGGTCTTTTTTCATCCTTTGATTTATTCAAATGAGGTGTTCATCCCTAATGAGATTTTAGGGAGGTGTTCATCCTTAGTAGAATTCTAATGAGGTGATTCTCTTTTGAATCAGTTTGCAAATATTAAATATTTGGTTTTGTTATATAAATAAAATATTCAACTTTTTTGTAGTTTAATATTTTTTGTGAGCAAATTGAGTCAAGAAGTCACCAAAGTAACCTCTCTTGAATTGGGTAGTTCATGAAAAATATTGAATGTTAGTGTTTGTGTATATTCATGCGAGTATTAGTCGGCCCAAAGGAAGATTAATATTTGGTCGAATTGCATACACACTTGTAATGATAAACATGTGATAATTATAAGGATTTGGTTTGTCGATGATAAATCAATCCAAAGACTGGTTTGTTGTTGGACGTGCTTTATTGTCAATGTTTGATTATTACAACAAGATACATCTAGCGAGTTAATATTACTTGTCCAAAGACTTGATATTGATGGAGCATTGGGTGTCTTGAGATGGGTTAAACCACTATTTGAATATATATTATTTATTTTTTATATAATGTGAGCATAATTAGTTTATTTCTCGTGTTCTAAATTCAGCTACAATTGCTTTTGTATCTGTCAATTTAAATTATGTCTCGGTCCTCAATGGAACAAATTTTAAGGACTGGAAAGAGAACATTAATATTGTTCTTGGTTGCATGGATATGGATCTTGCGTTAAGGACTGAGCAACCCCCTACTCCTACGGATTCAAGTACCTCTGAACAGAAAAGAGATTATGAGAAGTGGGATCGCTTAAATCGCATGAGTCTAATGATCATTAAGCGCGGCATCCCGGAGGTGTTTAGGGGCACTGTTTCTGAAAACATCACAAGTGCCAAAGAATTTTTTGCTGAAATTGAGTAGCGCTTTGCAAAAAGCGATAAGGCGGAGGCAAGCACTCTTCTTCAGAACTTGATCTCCATGAAATATCAGGGCAAAAGAAATATCATAGAGTATATTATGAGCATGTCTAATATTGTTTTTAAACTCAAGGCACTAAAGCTTGAACTCTCAGAAGACTTGCTCATTCATTTGGTGTTGATTTCTCTTCCTGCAACGTTTAATCAATTTAAGGTATCTTACAACTGTCAGAAGGATAAATGGTCTCTTAATGAGCTCATTTCACATTGCGTACAAGAAGAGGAAAGACTAAAGCAAGACAAGACAGAAAGTGCTCATTTTGCAAGCACCTCCAAGGCTAAGGGCAAAAGAAAGAGATCAGAGGATCTCGAGAAAGAAGCTGCTAAGGGTCCAGAACAAAAGAAATAAACTCAAGAAAACAAATGTTTCTTTTGCAATAAGACTGGACACATAAAGAAGAAATGTGATAAATATCATGCTTGGCGTGAAAAGAAAGGGTTGCCTAAACTACCAGAAGCCAATTGATTATGAAAGATGGATTTATGTTGGAGATGGCAAATCGATAGAGGTGGAAGCTATAGGACATTTTAAATTGTTATTGAGTACTGGTTTTTTATTTGGATTTGAAAGACACTTTTGTTGTGTCGTCATTTAGACGGAATTTGGTTTCAGTTTCTTATTTGGACAAATTATGTTATTTGTGTTCATTTGGAAACAATAAGTTCAGTTTGTCTTTTAATTCAGATATTGTTGGAACTGGTTCACTTTTGATTTATGATAATCAGTATTTACTTGATATTGTGGCCACCTATAATGAAACCCTTAATACAGAATCACGTGGTACTAAACGTAAAATTGAAAATACTCATTCAGGTGCATTATGGCACAAGTGCTCAGGTCACAATCAAATCGTGACGTTTGAGCTTGTGTTACACTCTTAAAGATATGGTAGAGAGTATGATTTGTCATTCCACCTTAATGGAATCACTTTGGGGAGAGACACTAAATACGACAGCTTATATTTTAAACAGAGTACCAACTAAAGCAGCTACCAAAACACCTTATGAGCTTTGGATTGGGCGACAACTTAGTCTGAAGCATTTCCATGTGTGGGGTTGTCCAGCTGAGGCAAGGCCTTATAAGCCAAATGAAAAGAAATTGGACTCCCGAACAGTAAGTAGTTATATTATTGGTTATGCTGAAAGATCCAGGGGATATAAATTTTATGATCCCACATTAAAGACAATTTTTGAGACGAGAACTGTTATGTTCTTTGAGGATATTGAGTTTGGGGGGAAGAATAAGATTTAGAACTTCATCTTGGAGGAAGAATCGGTAACAATTTCAGAACCGATTCAAATAGTTACTTTTGATAAAGTAAGTTCGGAACCTCCACAAGGCATTGTTAATGAACCCCTTACTCAAGATGATTTGGTTGTTTATGAAGAACAAACTCAAGATCCTCAAGAACCTGTGCATCATGAACTAATAACTTTGCAGAGATCCACTAGAGAAAGAAGAAGTGCTATTTCGAATGATTACATGGTATTTCTTCAGGAACATGAGGAAAATCATGATATAATGGAAGATGACCCAGTTAACTTCCGTCAAGCTATACAAGGTTCTAACTCTCAAAAGTGGATTGAAGCAATAGGATAAG